CTTTCCTCCTCATCTTTCTTAGGATGTGGGAACAAAATGCTATGCGTTCTTGTTAATAAGAGATGGTAGTTTGAGATGGTGGATTCAGGTCTGCAGACAATGGTGTTCAAATACGTGAAGTGTGCATAGGAGGATGATAACACTGCTAATTCTCCATCTTTATAGATGAATCATTTTGTCACTTTGAGGTCTGAATAAAATAATTCCTAACATCTGTTGATCCAAAATGAATTTGTACTCAGTACAAATTCAGAGGCCAAAGTGTTGAACATCAGTATTAAATATCTTGCTTTATGGTAGACTTATTTGTCTAAAAGTAGTGCACTAGCTAAGGAATAGAAGATGCAGTAGCCAAACGTTCATGGAACATTCATGGAACTTTATTCCATTTATTAGTGTTAGGGCTGAATGGGGTTTACATGGCCATAGGTATTGGTATTGGGACCAGCCAGTGCAATCTTTGTTGGTGATGTGTGCAGTGGGATTGAGTGTACCCTCAGCAAGTTTACCARTGACACCAAGCTGTGTGGTATAGTCAACATCCTGGACATGAGGGATACCATTGAGAGGCACCTTGAGACGTTGGCCCATGCAAACTTCCTGAAGCTCAACAAGGCCAAGTGCAAGGTGCTGCACCTGGGCTGGGGTTAATCCCAAGCACAGGCTGGGCAGAGAAAGGACAAGAAGCCTGACATGTCTCAGCAGCGTGCATTCACAGTCCAGAAAGCCCACTGTGTCCTGGGCTGCGTCAAAATAAGCAGCTTCCTCAACCAGCAGGTTGAGGAACACAATTCTCTCTCTCTACTCCACTCTCGTGAGACTCCCCACCTGGAGTACTTATRKCCAGGTGTGGGGCCCCCAACWCAAGAAAGGCATGGATCTGTTGGAATGAGTCCAGAASAGGCCACTAAATTGATTACAGGGCTGGAGCACCTCTGCTAGRAAGTCACGCTGGAGAACGCTCCAGAGAGACCTYACAGCAGCCTCCCACTGCCTAAAGGKGCATACAAGAAGAATAAAGATGTCCTTTTTACAAGGGTATGTTGTGACAGGACAAGGGGGAATGGCTTTAAGCTGAAGGAGGGTAGGTTTAGATTAGCCATTAAGAAGGAATTATTTTCTGTGASCGTGGTGAGGCACTGGAATAGGTTGCCCAGAGAAGTTATGGATGCCTCATTCCTGGAAGTGTTCAAGGCCAGGCTGGATGGGGCAYTAACCTGGTCTACTCCAAGGTGACACCTGAGAAACTGCCAGAAGTTTCCTCCATGTCTGATAGAGACAATGCCAGCCAGCTCCAAGACAGAYCCACTACTGGCCAAGGCCAAGCCCATCAGCGATGGTGGTAGCACCTCACAATAACATTTAAGAAGGGGGGAAAAAACTTGTGCAACACCAGCACCCAGGAGATAGAAGTGAGAATATGGGAGGGAAACAACTCTCCACACCCCCAGGTCAGAGTAAAAGGAGAAGGAAGAGGAGRAGGGTCTCTAGWCAATAGAGCAGAGATTCCTCTGCAGTCCATAGTGAAGACCATGGCAAGGCAGGATGTGCCTCAGCAGCCCATGGAGGTCCATGGTGGAGCAGACAGAACCTGCAGCCCCTGATTCTGTGGGAAACCCATGCTGGAACAGGCAAGAGTGTGAGGAGTCCTGCCCTAAGCAGGAAGGAGCAACACTCCCCACAACCCCCATGCTCCTATTTGCTCCATGTTTTTGAGAATCTTATATTTGCTACCTTTGAAAATGTAAAACCCAAATTGAAATTAATTGGAACAAGTTATTTCAAACATATTTTACATAACAAAACATCTTGCTCTCATCAACATTTTGTGTCATTTTTCCTGTAAGAGAAATAATGTCCTAATCTTGGTTTCATTGGAAGCCATCACCCTGAGCCACCTCCAGACTGGAYAGTCCCAGCTTGCACAATTACTCCTTAAAAGAGAGATGCTCCAGTCCCTCCAACATCCTAACAGCCCTTAACTRGTCTCTTTCCAGTATGTCCATGCCTCTCTTGTACCAAAGGTGGGGTTACCCTGGATAGAYGGACAGACTGGGAATGAGATGCTGGAAATCAGATCCATGGAAAGGGACCTGGGGATCCTGGTTGATGGCAAGTTGAATATGAGYCAGCAGTGCCCTGACAGCCAGAAGGGCCAACCATGTCCTGGAGGGCATCGGGCACAGCATTGCCACCTGGTCAAGGGAGGGCATTGCCCTGCTCTGCTCTGCACTGGGGTACTGTTRTMCACAAAAAYMATATYCATTAYCTGGTGTGCAACAAGCCAATAATTACACGCTTGAGAGAGACATTGATACTTATTTTAAAACTGTGCAAACCTGGAGTTGTGGTGGAATTTCACAAATCAAACACATGAACTACCAACACTTTTTACTATTTATACATTTTAGCAAACAATGGAATTAGTGTTCATTGGCTACTAGCTACGTAGTTTTCTTATGAATTMATATTCTACTGTTGGTTAACAAATCTCTTCCTTCTTATGCTAATTAGTTCACATGACTAATCTTTCTCTTTTTTTGGGTCGGTGGTCTCTGAGTTGGAGGTCGTAGATGTCCCCCTCCCAGAATTACCTTTCACTCAGACGGTGCTGATTTCAGCACAATTGCTGAGTTGGCTTTATTAGTTCTTTCCTTATCTTGGGAGTTCTACCAGATGTCTTTGTGGCTCATAAATTCTGCATTCTTTGTGTCCAGTATCAGTTGGCATCCTTTTTCTCAAGCTTTATTGACCTCTCCCAAGGTCTCAGATCATTGAAGCATGTCAAGCCCTAAACTATAACAAAGTAATTCTAAAAACAATTAATTTGTTTTTCTAACATGTAAATATCACTTAGAGCTTGTTTGTTAGCTGCTGTTTCACAAATTAAATATYCCTTGTTGGATTGGACTCAAAAGTATACAAATAGCAAGGAACATCCTTTCCTAAGAAAAAGTTTACATATTCCACATTTTGSAACAGTCCTGTGTGCAATTTTGTGCACTATAAAAATGACATTAAGCTATTATAGAGGATGCAAAGGAGGGCAAGGAGGATAGTGAAGGGACTGGAGGGRAMGTTTTATGAGGAGCAGTGGTCATTTCTGTTCAGCTTGGAGGAGACTGACGGGAGACCTCAGTGCAGTCTACARCTTCAAGAGGGAGAGCAGAAGGTCATGCACAGATCACTGATCTCTTCTCTATGGCGCCCAGTGACAGGGAATAGCCTGCAGTTGTGTCAGAAGAGATTTAGATTGGATATTAGGAAAAGGTTTTCCAACCAGAGGGTGGTTGAGCACAGAACAAGCTYCCCAGCAAAGCGGTCACAGAACCAAGCCTGACAAGAGTTCAAGAAGCGTTTGAACAATGCACGCAGGCACATTGTGTGACTCTTGGCGTGTCCTGTGCAGGAGCTGGACTCGATGACCGTTGCAGGACCCTGCCAATTCAGGACATTCAGCAACTCCCTAAACATGGCCGCCACTGAAGGAAACCCGCTCTGAGCCCTCTGGGGATCGTGGCTGCGCATGCGCAAGAAAGCTCCTCCCCTCATCTCYCCTCTGCGCTGATTGGTCGGAGGGCGCGCGCCGCGGAAGCGCCCCGCCCCTCGGCGGTTGGCGTGCGGTTGCCATGGCAACAGGGGCCGGCAGCTCGCGCGGGCCGGGCCTGAGGGGGAGCGGGGCCGGGGGGAGCGATTCCCTCCCGGGAGGGCTCCTGGAGCGGATCCCGTCCCGTGCCCGCCATCGGAGCCGCCTTCCCACTGGCCTTGCTGGGAGGCGGTTGGTGGCGGGGCCACGGGACGGGGAGGGCGGTGCGAAATCGCACGGCTGTAGGTAGGAAGCAGCTGGGGGACMGAGGGAGGGTGACCTGCCCGGCTTTGCCTCCGCTTATTCGGCTGGGTTTGGAAGAAGGTCTGAGAAAGGGCTCTGAAAGGTAATTTTATCTAGAAAGCAAGAAACTCACAGTAGAAAAACAAGCAAACCACAAGGTACTTTCAGCTTTCCTTCTTCCCCACCTTTTTAAATAAAAGTTAAAAGCAAATCCCGTGTGGATAAAGAAGAGCTACTGAGCTTCAGCTTTGTTTAGTAAGTAAGTTTCTTCTGCCTTCACAGCCTCGATTTTGGCTTTTCTTCAGTTTCTCCTAACTGTAATGCTGGCAAGGAGGATTCCCTGTGCGAGATTTAGCTCAGGGATGCTTTCTGCCGTCTCCTCAGTTGTACTGCTACACATATCAGTATTAGGGGCTTTTGTGTGTCAGTTAAAATACATAATATACATTGGATTATGCACTGGCTGAAGAGGTGTCCTTTCTATTCTGAGTCATGGAATTATATCTGTTAGGGTATCTTTAGCCCCAGATMATTTGTGCATCCAGTGCAATATTAGTTGCTTGCCTTCTTCCCTCTTCCTCTATCCCCTCATTTATAATCTCACTTATATAAGCCACAGTTTGAAATAAAGACTTGGTATTGTTGTGAGAGCATCTATAATATGCCTTAGTCTGAAAAACTCAMGTTTTTRACTGTGCAGAACATGAGGTTGTRTGCATGATAAAAGTGYARTGTGGATGTATAAAAAGTATTATAGCTTAACACTACCTCTCACAGCCTGTAAACCTGTTATGGAGTGTCCTGTATTTTCTAATTTATAATTAGATTATGAGCTTTCATTAACTAGCTACTRTATGTGACAATTAAGTCTGCTGTATGAAAAAGATGAAAACCAGGATACAACCTTGTAAGCAAACTGAAACAGCAAATCAAATAGAAAAAATACTTTAGATGTTAATTAACACACCAAAAACTTGATAAAATGTGAGCAATAAAAGGGGTAGGATTTTATAAGCAACACAGTATCACWGTGAATGACAAGGGCATCAGTGAGGATATGTCAGATTTGAAGTATATACGTAAACTTTGTTGAAGATCTGGGACACAAGTGGTGTAACACTTTCCTTTTTTGTTTTTAAGGCATTCTATAAACTACTTAGAGCACTTGGAATACACTGTTAAAAGAAGCATTACAGCAGCTTGACCTATTGCTGAACCATGGTTCAACTAACAATGGACCTAATTGCTAAAAATGCTGGTCACAAGAATCGTAGTGACGAGGACTTTGGACAATACCTGCAAAAACTAACTCATCTGAATTTGTCAGATAAAAATATAGACACAATTGTAAGATTTATTTTTCATTATTCCTTTTAAACTGCTACTCTAATGTTTTGTAGTTATTGTTATGATSAGGTATTCATAGTTAGAGAGACATGGAAAGTCACGTTTTACAKAGTTGTTAACTCACAGCATAATCTTTTCAATCTATCTGTGATTTGTTCCTTAAATTTCAGAGGAAGTCTGAGAAAGGAAAGGAGAGTTCAGGAACAGGAAATAACCCSAGTGAGGTTAACAAATTTGGACTGGTGTAATGGCTTGTTCGAATTAGTCAGGTTAAAAATATACTTTCTTTTTTAAAAATTGCTCCCTGGGGCTTACTCATTTAAAAAATAATCCATGAGCTTTTCATTTTCAAAGACTAAACCTRCAAACTTAATCCAGTTCTCCTTCCTCTGAGTTTAATAATGGGAAATGTATACATGTTTCAATAAATTCTGAGTTAATTCAGATCTCCTCAAGATACTRAGTAAATTTTGAAACTGCTGAGCTCTGAACAACTGCATTGTTGAATGTGGTGGATTTCTGCTCTAAAACTGTGATTTCAATCAAGAAGAAATTGCTTGTTCTGTGTGAATGGATCCCTGCAAGCAAATGGGTTTATTCAGCCCACTCCTAAGAACACGTGCAGCCACAGCAAGTTACTAATAGGATCAATCCATTTGATGAGGTCTGGTTCATCAGCTGCCACAGCAAAATTTCACAGAAACCTTCATAAGGAGTTGCCTTTTACTTGTTTAATAGGAATGTATGCAAAGAGACTCGACATTTGAGTGCAAACTTGGGTTCAGAAGTACATAAAAAAGATTGAAGTGCAAGGTTTTGTATAAGCCAGTAATTCTTTGCCAAGAACTGGTTTCCAGTTATATTAGTGCAATTTAATGGAGACAATTACTGTAAAAACTGTACTTTTCTGAAATCCATCTGATGAAGACAGGGAAGGGAATGAAGTCACACKGGATGTGGTGTATCTGTTGGTGATGCCTGTAGTCCTTAGCTCCTGTATGRCAAAATAGTAATGACAGATTTCAGTCTTTAATCTGATGATAACTGACAATATATAACTGTATTTTTCTAGGAAAAATAGTTTTAAAAAAGGTGAAAAATTGTAAGTCATGAAGCAGAACTTAAATGTAAGAACAATCAACAGCAYCCAGAAGAGGGAGTGAACATTAAGTAGCATGTTATTGTTTATTTCAGGGTGATCTCTCTTTCTGTAAAAATCTGAGAGTTCTGTATTTATATGATAACCAAATCAGCCAAATCCAGMACTTGGACTTTGCTTCAAATATAACACATCTTTACCTTCAGAACAATCGTATTTCAAGTATAGAAAATCTCTCCTCACTGAAAAAACTTGAAAAACTGTGAGTTGAAAATAAAGCATTTACTAGTAAAACGAATTTTTATGACACTTAAGAAATTTTAAAAATTATGYATCCATTAAGGTACTTTCAGCTTTTAAGTTTTGCTTTTCAAATAGAAGTATTGCTTATTATTTTTTGATGAGATGTTCTGTGATAACAGTAATGACATATCATTTTGACATATATATTTGCATTTTTTCAGTCACATAATAATAGTAATAGCAGTGGATAAAACTGAAAAAAAAAACCTCTTGAATCAGTTATGTATACATTCTACTTTTATGCTAGGTGTTACTTTTTCTATCATAATTTCCAAGTATTATTCAATAATSCTTGATAAATATTTTTCTTTATATATTGAAGTCTTGTGTTTGCTCTTACTTTTAAAGGATATTAAATCTATTTGTGTTCTATTCTGTAGGTATTTGGGAGGCAATTATATCACGGTAGTAGAGGGTTTGTATAAAGTAGGAGAAATAAGGGAGCTACATATTGAAAATCAACATCTCCCTCTTGGTGAAAAGCTTCTGTTTGATCCATCATCTCTTAAATCCCTGGCAGTAAGTATATTTTGAAAATTTCAATGAGCCAATTATCAGGAGATCAGTATTTTTAGGAGAAGTTATTTGGACTTGATCACTCTGTGTTTTCCTCCTTTGCCAATTGGTGGCATTCTTTCAAATTCTACCAAGGGACCCCAACCCTAATTTTCATAAAAGCTAGGAATCCAGCAAGTTCCACTTCATAAGTGTTTTTATTATGAAGGATGAAAATTAGAATAAAGAGAGAGAGGAATTAAGGAAGTGTGTGGATGCCCCGTACCAACAGAATGTGAATAAACAAAAAAGGGATTGGAATTTATCACTCTTAGTTTTCTTAGTCTGTTTCATTTGTAGTGAATTAGTTTGTTGATATTTCTCTGATTTGATTGTTGCAGTTTTTTCTTTATTGCCTTTTGTGTTTCTGTAGAGAGTGGAATGGCAAAAAAAAATGGGCACAAACAGTTTTTTTTCCTGGATATTAATAACAACACAATCAACAGCATCCAGTTTTAATTCTGCAGGTCTTTTTATATTGTGTTATATCAAGATTTCTTTTTGAAATCTTTTTGAATTTGTCTTTCAACATGTTAATGGCTCAGAAAACATAAAACATAGTTGAAGAGGTTACAAAGTAGGCTTTATTTGCTAATGGATGTAGTACTGTACAAAAAAAATTGCTCTTGCTGTATCTCCCATATGGTGGTCAGGGCTTGATGAGCCTTTTTTCATGAAGATGAAGAACTCACTAAAAAGTGAGGTTTTTTGTTCACATGTATATCATAAATATTTGACCTAGCTCTATTTTTTCCTGTTTTCGCTGTTTTTCTTTAATAGAAATGAGTAATTGCTGTTGGGAGAATTTGTACTTTGTTCCTTCTATACTAGAGAAAGTATCAAAGTAAAGGAAAGTTTTATAGCTGTAATCTCCCCCGGATAATAACTTATTATAAACTCTTCCATGTTTTTCRGCATCCTGGCCTAGATTTTGTTCTTTGTGGCTTTTATTTAAGGCCTTTTGATGTGGAGTTTGTTTTGTTTTCTAAGAACACTTTGCATTCTTGATGATGTAACATCTTTGTGGAGATTAMATGTAAAAACCTCCAAGTGCTAAGTGTTTGGAGCTTTTTTAAGACATCACTTTTTACTTTGTCTGTTTCTGTCTCTTTTAATGGTGTCAGAGATGAAAGAGATAAAAGCATGAGGCTATRTAACTGTCTTTGTAGTGCAGGCAAATGTTTTGATGATGACAATGTCATGAATGTGACAGAGAAGTTAAAGCTTATGAACTGTGTTTATCTGGATGATACTGGTAATTTCTGTCTGCAATGTCTTGGTCAAATTTTTGAAGKGGGTTAGTTTTCATGTATAAACTGCTGAAATAGAGATTTTCCAACTAATGGTATGTCCTATATCTTGTATAATCCTAAACTCACTGGATTAGGTGTCCCTTTTCATTTTCTAGCAATATAAACTTCTTCCTTTTATGTGAAACTACATTGTTATTTGCTGAGATAAACACCTGAAACACATGTCGTTTTTTATCTGACATGTAAAGATCTCTGTAACTATTGTCTCTTACAAACAGCAAAGCGCAGTATGTGACAGCACTGTTCCAAAGAAGGGGTAAGGATCAGAGGTACTGAGAGGTTTGTAGGATCAAGCCTGGAAGTAAAAGGGTAGTCCAGCCGTTAAATGAAACTATATGGGTATCACATAGGGGCTTCAGCTCTGCAGTTCAGATGCAATCTTGGGGCCCACAGTGTAAGAACATGGACCTGCTGCAGCAAGCCCAGAGAGGGCCACAAAGAGGGTCAGMGGGCTGGTTTCMTATGAAAGCAGGCTGAGAGAGCTGGKKTGGTTCAGCCTGGAGAAAAGAATGCTTCAGGGACACCTCATACCAGCCAGCATTCCAGTACCTAAAGGGGTCTTACAAGACAGCTGGAGAGGCACTTTTTACAAGGGTGTGTTGTGATAGGACATGGGATTATGGCCTGAAATTGTTCAAGGGCAGGTTTAGATTAGCTATTAGGAAGAAATTATTTGCTTGTGAGGTTGGTGAGGCACTGGAACCRATTAGACCAAGAWGCTGTGGATGTCCCATCCCTGGAATTGTTCAAGGCCAGGTTGGATGGGGCCTTGGGCARCCTGGGCTAATGGAAGGTATCCCAGCTCATGGCAGGGAAATTGGACCAGATGATGTTAAAATTCCCTTTMAACCCAAACCATTCTATGATTCTATAAAAAGGCAGTCAGTTTCAATGTATGTTTCATACTTCAAAAGTAGGCTTAACAGCATTTGCAGAATTCTGCCAAGCATTTTAATGTGTTTAATAAAAATTCTGTATTTACTAAGAATTCCTGAAGTAACTGAGAAATAATTGAGAAACAATCTTACTTTGGTTTCACTTCAAAACCAGAATAAATTATGTTTTAGGACAAGATGAAAAGCCAACATAAAACAATCTGTGTGGTAYGTGAAGGTCGTATTTGCATGTTTCTTCTTCATATATTTGTTCATCTTTTAAGATAATTGTCTGTAATAATTTACAAATTGACTCCTACAGGGCATGATAAAAATACTTACTTTTCTGCTTCACTTCCTTCAGAAATCTCTGTCTGTATTGAATATCAGCAATAACAACATTGATGAATTAGAAGAACTGGCAGTTTTGGAAAACCTTTCCTATCTTAAAGCAATCGACAATCGACTTAAACATATGAAGGTATTAAAATAAATATATGTTATATTAAGTGTGAGTGACAAGAAAGTAGTCACATTCATCTTTATCAGTAAATATATGAGTAAAAAGAAATTTTACTTCTGCAGTTACTAAATCTGGCTTGTTATGCATGCTGTCTTTTCTCATATAGAAATCTTACTGAGATTAAAAATAGACAAGGATTTATCTAGGATGTCAAAATTTATATTTTTATTAGTTACACTGAAATGAATTGGTTTAAATATTAACCCAAATCACCAAGAAAAAATCCTTGATTAAAATAAACTATTTAATTTCTAGTTTGCATATACATTTTATTTCCTTAGTAAATTTAACTTTTATTGATTAGTGATTATTAAAATAACTATTCTTATTACTTCTTAGAACACAACATATTTTTAACAGGTTGTTGAGAGAATTTGGCAGTTCTCTTTACTAATGAGGAGATTGCAGTATTTTGTGAGCATAACCTATCAGTTATCTAGATCAATATATTTTATTTGGACTCCTAATTTATTTACACTTTCATATTAAAAAATGTTGAATGATGCCCTTCTTTTTTACTAGAGAACTATTAATGCTTTATATTTCAAGTCCTGACTGTGACTGGGATTGCATTTACATCAAAATACAATTTATGTAGGCATTTGCAGAATAATTTAAATTACATTGAAAATGTTGCTTACATCAAAATAGAAGAATGCCTTTTCAAATAGGGAGTCTCCCCAAAGCTTCCCATTTTAAAAGGAATCCTTTTCTAAATCAAACTTATTACAGRGGTTTTTATATTGTCTCTTTCTTTCTTATGAATAAAAGATACTTCTGTTCTGATGATCTTAAAAGAAAATGTTATAGGCAAAGAACCAATTAATTTTAAGAATGAAGATGTCAGTTTAGAGACAGTGTTTTCAGTATCTCTGAGGAAAAAACAGTATCCTCTGGAACAGAATAAGCAGAGGACGAAAAGACTGCATTATTCAGTAACTGTGTATATATTATTTATTYAGTATTCAGTGTCATTATTTAATCATCAGGAAAAGCAGTAATTTACCCAATTAGACGTGTAGATTTCTGTGTTACATGGTCACAGCTTCTGAAAATTTCCATGATTAGTATTTGAGTTTTCTGCTGCTGCTGCCGCCTATCCATGACACTAGGATTAAGCTCTGTATATTTTGAAATTGACTGTTCTGTGTGTTTKCTAAACAATCTCCAAGTTTTGAAATGTATGGAACAGGGAAGGTGTTTCTATTCATATCTTCACAGACCTGTAGAATTAATGAATATATCAAATGTTTTTAATATACAGTGTAATACTAGTGGATATATCCAACTTGCCAGCTACAATTACTGAGTTTTAAGGGATTACATTTTGTAAGACTCTACTTATCACTAATATAAATTCCAAAATAAATAAAAAAACAAACTATTGAAAAAAGCAGTAAGCCATGAAAAATATTTTCTTTAAATTCTGCGTTAGCTCTGTGTGAGAGGCTTTGGCTCACACTGAACTTTAGCAGAAGAATCTTATAGAGCCACTGACTGTTCAAACAAATAGCTGAGGGAAGTTTTGAGTATTTTTTTTTTTTTTTGCATCCTGAATTTCATGATTGCATGACATACCTTATTCTGCAATTGTGAAAGCTGCAAGGATTTTATGACTATGCAGTTCTATACACTTAATTGGTTCTGCTGGCTGAACTTGTTATATGCAGCAAAGGCTCTTTCATTCCCACACAAGCTGCRTCCATTCTCCTCCCTCTTTTCCCTCTGTTATCAAAATTCTGATGTATACCTCTTTTTCGTGCCAGAAGCACTMTGTCCTCTGTTTTCCCATTCTTCCCCACTTCCCATCGCTGCCATCAAGAACATCCCCAGGAACGTCTGGCATTGATCAGAAATTGTGGCAGTGCTGCATGACAGGGAAGTGTAGGAGAGCTCTGTACCCAGCTGTGCTTCACCCGATGGGAAGAGAAACTGTAGAGGAGTTATCTGTGTCTGAGCAGGTCTGGCAAACTGTAGGAATAACATGRAATCTTTGTAAAAGAGGATAATATGAAAGGCATAAGAAAGGGGTGAAAACCAATCACTTTTGTGTCTTTAATATAATTATTTTATATTTAAACATTTCTCTCAATTTTTTCACTCTATTATGAAAATCCATATTCTTTCACTTTTTAACTATGCCAYCTTGATTTCAGCATAGTTGAGAATTAGGACTATAAATTCAAGCACTAAAGGTGGTGGCTAATTCAAGGCTTAGTTAGCATAATTAACAGACATAAAGGCATATGACCTTGTTTCACTTGACTGAAATTTATATACTGCAGTCTGAACAGTAGACAGAAGAAAATCAAGTAATTTTTCTGAATCCATGCAAAATAACTGTGACTAGTTTTGCATGACCACATGCAAAAAGTATGTCTTAGGTCAGTTATCAAGAATATAATTGATTTTAATAGAATTTTTTTTAATTTGTTTTCTGTTACTTGCTACTTCATTTATTCATCTTATTGAGGTTCTGGTTTGCTTAATCAGGATCACAAGGTCTTCTAGAYTGCAGTATATTTGGGTTGGAATTAAGGAAATTTTTTAAAGCACAATATCAATTTAAAAAAACCCACAACTATTCCTTTTTACAAAAAGCCAGAATATAWTTTCTTTATTAAGTTCATTAGATTTGGTAAGATTATGACCTCAGTGAGTATTTGGCTAGATAGAAAAAAATATAGCTACAAATACCTGTAAAAATCTGTATTTCCTRAGTCTTTAATTTATTCAACCTCTGCCCAGTATTGATTATAACAAGAAGATATCACAAAAGATGAATTCATTCGCTTCAGAATTGAGTCAGGAACAAGAGAAAAATTATAGATTTTCTCAAATAGATTATGACAGGTAATCAAACTGGTGACAAATTGCTGTCTKTAGATGTTGCTGGGGCCGTTGGATTAGACGTTTCTGATAAAACTGGAGCATACTGGTCAAATACCAATTCTTAAATGGCCACCGTTAATTGGTAAGAAAGTTATTGCCAGCACTACAGATGCCTATTCAGGCTCTTGCCTCTCCCCCTCCCCATCCCCCGTCCCCCCCCCAATGGAATATAATTTGCTCGTCAGTATTTTGTAGCAGACCTCAAAGTGATAGCATGACATGATCATTTATCAAACGGAGCCTGCCCAGAAGAGTGTCTGGTCCCTTTAGWACAGCTTATTGAAAGGCTGGGAAGTGAAAGCACTTTATTAGAGACAGGAAGGCAATGAACAACTAGAGCGTATCGAAAGGGTAATCATATTTCAGCACAGGATTAGTGTGCTCTTAGATAAACATACATTGGAGTAAGCATGTTCTGGGTCATTTATCAAGTAAGTAACAGCTAACAAAAATCTACAGGACTCTATACATTCATCAAAGTTAAACTGTACACATTTTATTTCAGTAATAGACAACTTTGTTGCAAAACTGTTCCTCTGAAAAATTCTTTCTAGTGAAATCTAGAACAGATTAGAGACTTCAATGATAGTGTCTAAATGCTTAGGTAAGAATAAATAAATATACTTGCTAAATTACTTTACTTTTTTAATATGTCTAGCCTAAAATATTTTGCCCTTAAATTTTGTTTCTGACTGTGTTAGCACCTAAACTATGGGGGTTATCATGTTGCTATTCTGATACATTCTGATTATGCTTTGCTGTGTAGCATTAWGAGAATTATTAACATTTCTGCATGTGGCCTGGTCCTCAGAGTTTCTTGCATTGTTTTGTCAGTCTCGATCGTCACAGAACCAGAATTTTGCTCTCTATTTTTCTAAAAATACATTTTTATCACTGAATAACAATAGATGATATCATCATAGATAGACCAAAAATTATATGGTCGCTGCCACTTTCTCTGCCACATGATTTTTCTAAACACAACCCATAGAATTTTTCCAARAGGATTTTCTATCAAGGGAGATGAGTCAGCAAAAGCAGAATTCTCCCTGCTTGTGTTACTCAAGCAATTTGCTAAATTTGAAAGAGCTAAGAGATACCTAAATTGCAAGAGACTTCATTGTTGGCATCAAGCTACAAAATTTTACACTTTTCAATTTAGAATCTGTCACAGCATGATTAGTAGATTTTTCCAAATTATTACAATAGTAGAACATAAATTCTCTCTCCTATTTATATAGATTGTCTTGAATCCCTCCTTAGGYTTTTCACACATACAAGGAAAGCCTGTCAAGAACAAGAGTTATATGAAATTTTGGAAAGACAGTATTGCAGAACGTAGGGTGTCTGAGTAGAGAAGACCAATCTTCTAAASTTTGCATGTTTTTATCTTGAATTTATTGCATTTAAAAGACAGAGTAGTTTCATCTAGGTCATACTGCCCCTGGGTAACCAGGCAGAAACACAGATGGAGAAAAGTATATTTCACAAATTTCACTGTTTAGGCCAGTACTATAACTGACCACCCACAGTTAGGTAGGAGAGGATTACTGTTTCTCCTGTAAAATATAGTTCTATTATGTATATATATAAAGAGAGATGCACTCCACTGTGCATTGCATGTTTTTTAGCTTTTTTTTTTCAGTCTGTCCTTTATCTGTATAAAATATATATTGTTCCACACAGATAGTCTAACAACTCTGTAAGACCATGGAGATGCATTAACAGACATTATGTATCATATATGCTTCCTAGGCTTTAGGTGCTTGTAAGTGGGATTGAAGTGGTAATTTTCCGTAGCTGGTATTACTGTATCCTTAAAAATGCAGCATCTTCTAACAACACCTTTTTTTCTATGCAATTATGATATATTCAGGGGATACTGTGAACCACTCTATATTTGAAAATGCACATTCTTAATGTGCTTATTAATACATGCAAATAGTCTCATTGAAGTTATTTCTGTGTGCAGGATTTGGCTGAACAAATTACTGTTGAATTTTACTTTGGAGGAGGAAATATAATCACACTTTTGTTGTTTCAATTGCAGGATTTGGAGATTGTATTAAACAAATGGACAAAGCTACGCAGAATAGATCTTACAGGAAACCCCATTTGTCAAAAACCAAAGTACAGGGACAGGATTATAGTACAATCACCGACTTTAGGTAAAAAAAGAAATCAATAGCCYGCCCATAACCCCCACTCTTTTAGGAAACAGTTGAAAAATTAGTTGTTCTTGAGTAGCACTATGTATGTAAACACAGTTACTACTTTAGATATTCATGTCAAATCATAAATTTTTARTTTATGTCAAAAACTATAACTGCTTATGTAATCAGCTTCATAAGCCATCTTGTTGGGCTTTTGGTATTAGTAGCAGTAATCATTTGTTTTGTAATAGATAGTTGGTGAGAATGTAACAAGACAATTTTTTGTGTTCATAYTCCAGACATTATGAAACTGATTTTCAAAGATCATTTTAACCTATTTCCCTATCAATCTACAGTAGTTGCTAAACTGCTTTTYTTACACAGTGCCAGTTGTGCAAATCCTCCTTAATGTGTTTGAATTTGTCATATAACATTCATCCTTAAACTTACAAGCAGTTCAAACTTATGTTATGGGTCTATTTGTTAATCTTAACCCTTATGGTGCAGTTTATATTATTATTTTGAGATAACTTTAGCACAAAGGGAAGAAAGTTATTCTTCTATATCTAAACAGTTATACTGTAGAAGTAAGTCCAAAAAAAACTGTTAATTTTTTATTTCTTTTCGATAAAGGTGGCAATTATTTTTAAAGTTATAATTACAGAACTTGGGTTTTCTGACCGTACAAAGTATTGGCCATTAAGAAAAAAAAAACCAACTTATCTGCACAATGAAAATAACAGGAACAGTGAGGACAATTCTAATGCAACCTAAATTTGTGACCACYGTGAGGTATTTCATTTGGGCTGACTCAAAAATGCAGATGCAACAATTAATCATAGAACAYAAGATTTACAGCACCTAAGTGAGTAAACTTAACCTTAGAGAGGCAAATCTGTGTGACTGTTTTATAGTCAGTGGAATTCCTTGATTGCTAAGACGTGTAGTTTCCCTCTCAACCTGGATTTTTGCATAAATCTATACCCTGTGTAAGAGCATAACTTTTCTTCAAAACTTTATAGAAAATGTTGCAGGTTAACCAAATGTGAAATATGTATATTTCCCTTGAAAGTTATAAAAATGGTACMTTTTTTTTGTAATTAAGACATGTTAACTCACTTTTGCAGCTTGAATATGAATATCAATTGTTATTGGGTATTTTCTTCTTTACCAAAAGAATAAAAAAAGAAAAAAGATTTTAAGAGGATGAGTATAGAGCCAATACACATTGCAYACAACTTTTTATAGCCCTTTAGTTCACTTTGTATCAGAGAAAATGTTCTCTTTTGCAGAATCCCTTGATGGGAAAGAAATTAAAGAAATGGAAAGACGTTTCTTAATGAATTGGACAGCCTCCAAAGCTGCCAGGACAAAAAGCAATAAAAGAATGACAGATGAACATGCAGCCCATGAACAGTTTTGTAAGGAAACTAATCAATTACTTCATGCTTATTTAAAATTTATAGAAACCATAAAATAGCAGCTAAAAGTAAATATATTAAGAATTGTTTAAAAGAGACTTGCACCAGTGATGAGTCCAAAAGACACAARTAGAAATTTAGCTTTTCAATGGTTTTGAAACAGTCTTCTGAATAACAAGTGATACAAGGAGGTGCTTTGTAATTGAATTTACTCCCTTTCAAATAATTCTACCTGAATGGGAATATCTGTTTTAATATACACCTTCATCAGTGTTTGCAGCACCTTCCATAATGCCATTAAAARTTTTGCATTCTCAATTATCAGACTTCAGGTATTTTACCTTAAGGTTTATTACACTGTTTTCTATAATGAGATATATTGGAGCCTGTGATCAATCACACTGAATGTTAAGTAGATATRGTTTGACTTGGGATATTGAATTAATCTTTTTTTCTTTCTGTTTTCTGCAGCTGACACTGGAACACACGTTCCCCCTCTTCCCTTTCATGGGATTCACTCTGTAAAAGGAAAAGCAAATCTTTTAGGTTTGTCTCACAAGCAGAAAGCTGAAAGAAAACCTCTGCCAAGAATCCGTGAAAGAAGAAGTCAGATGAAAACTCAGGTGTGTTCCTCAAACAACTTCCTTTTTTACTTATGTTGGTTATTGCTTGTACAGCTTTTACTGAATCAGTTGGAAAATGAGTGTAGGAAGGTAGAATTTAATCTGTTCTTTTAAAAAATAATTTTATATTTATTGTCTTTATTTCTTTGAAAGACAGAATAATAGATTTCARTTTCTTGTTATTAATTAGTAGACCAGCTAACAGTAGTAACTTCTGTGTTACTMGTTTCTGTCATATGCATTTAATTGTAATMATTTTCCACAAAGGTAAAATAATAYCRAAGYTAATTCTTAGAAGTAAGTTAAGGTGTCAGCTACATCGGTGAAGGGTGATCCTGTGCATGGAGTCTGCAGAAGGAGAAGCAGTCACTTTTCATCATTATAGCTTATTTCTAACAGCCATGCCCCAGTCTCACCTGGAGCAATCGTATAGTTAAGTATTTATGATCTAATATCACTCYGTCTAGATTTTTAATGCTGTTTATAACTAACAGTGTTATTATTTATCAGCTGAACTATCCAACCAAAAAAAATCATCATTTATACAATGCTGTAGATTAAATAAACAAATACATGYGACTGATACAGGTATTGTTTTGTAACTAAATTACTAAATCTAGTGCTCTATTTTACATTCAAGTTAGAATTTGTTAGTATGTTTGGCAATCTAACTGAGCAAAATTTAATGCTATTTGTTTTTGACAGCTTACCACTTTCCCTTGCATCAGTTTCGTTCCTTCTGATTATTTGTTCTGATTAAAAATAGCTGCCTCTCCCTTTGCAAAAGGAAGAATTGCAAATCACAAAGCTGCTGTCTTTCAAATAATTTTTATTTATCACATGATGGTGCATATATTCTGTCCTAAAAAGAAGCTGAACTTGTCATATATGTGCTTGTTCTTGAATTTTTTCTTGCTGCAGAAAGCAGAGCAGTAGAGCAATTAAAAACAAGAACTGCAGGAACAACGTACTAGTTATTATAAAAAGTAATACTGTTAGTACTACTAGAGAGGTACACTATTATTTTTTAATGGATAGCCAGGCTTCTGRAATTTAGAGGGATACAGACCATTATATTCAAGCCATTTTATATGTTGGAGTTTTTTTGATTCTACKGTTAGATGGGTTTGTCCACAGGCTCAGTGTTCTGTCAGTTTTCATGTCATCTTTATTAGCATCCTGTCTTTTGGGCCAGGCTGAGTAAAACTGCTTTCCATTTACCAATCCCCTTAGTTCTTAAAAAGGATGGAACATGAATGTACAACATCTTTTCTCCTGTAAGACCTTCTGCTATTCCCTTGGAGACAGAGCATTCTGATTCTTCTTTACAATGTTAAGAAGCCGTCCAGTTGTTGACCTTCTTTGCTTGGCAAAAATTTTCTCAGTATTAAAAAGCTGGAATACAACCACGGCTCTGTTGAAATACCTTTTGACCCTAGAAAAGCAAAGAATATGTCTTCCACACTTGATTGAAATAAAATGTCTATATTTTTATAAATTTAATTTCTAAATGTAACCATTTGAGTGGTTTGGGTTTTTTTTTTACTGTTAGTCTAGAAGATTTTAGTCTGATTTCACAGAAAGGTTAGAAGAAACTGCCGTCAGATGACATRCATTTAATATTTTCTAAAAACTTTTAAGTGGGACTTTTATCTTAGATGTTGAAGGTTGCTGCACCTTACAATTTCATGTGTGATCACTGATTCTARGATGTATTCTAATCTTGTTACTAGAGGAATTCCATAGAAACCAGAGAGCCTTGCAAGTTAAAGGATTGTGAATTCTTTAGAATGTTTATTGTGAATAAAACCCAAAACCTCAAAATATAGAAATATTCATTCTCAGAGGTTATGCAGATATGAAAAAATGACAAGATCAGTAATTGCGGATATACATGAATGTGCCCATAAGTAAAGGAAGGAAATTTTGTCAAACTGAACAAATACCTGCATTGTTTAATTGAAATTCAGTATTGGACCAAAGAAATTAGTGAATTTTAATCTTACTCTCTGTGTTAGTCAAATAAATTATTCCAACAGATGTTTCCTCTTTCCCTATACATGCTAGGTGATGTTTGACCTTGGCAATTGAAAAACAGGCACTAAATACCTTTTTAACCTACATCTTAGATCCACTGAGGATTGCATACAGCTTGAACAATGAAAAAAGCCACTTATTACTAGATTACTGAAATATGTCATTAATCTTTCTTTTTTATGATATAAAAACAATAGCAATTTTATATTGGATTTTAACTTAGTTTTGGCTGTTCAGAGAAAATTATGGATATTGGCAGGAAGTAATTAGAAGAAACCAAATCACTTAACTATTTTAAAGATACCTAATACCTTCCAATGGGATACACCATTATTAGTTTTCCCTGAGTAGAGAAGTTGTTGAAATTTTGATGTTGTAAACTTAATCTGTAACCTGCAGTTTCTACCCACATCGTCTTACTCATGGAATTAAATAKTGTGGTAGGTATTTCTAGCAATTCAAAATGTGGTGGGAAAGTCACCTTTTGCCTCTCCAGTATATGTTATGGGATTAGCAATATGGAAATATCTTTAAATAATATAGTCAGCATGTAATGAATACTCTGGATTGTGCCAACTAATCATGAGCCACKCTGCTGCCACCATGCACATCCTGTATAGCTCTAGTTCTAGTCCAAATGGAAGGAACTTGCAGTGAACAATGTTAGTTCTCCCTCTTCTGAGGCAGGTGCTTGTATTAACACTGTATTTAATTAGTTAAATATTTATAAATGCCTTGAGTTGCAGTGATTTGCGTGGTCTGACATCTACACAGGATCATGTATAAGAATGTATGGTCCGCATGCATACTGAGCTTTTGTTTATATGAATTCAATTAGCATTATGATAAATATAATTATTAAGGTCTGATATATGATAGTTTTTCTGGGGAGAAATGATACTGAGACTATAATGATATATGTCCAGAACATAAGCTTTACAATCATACACTTATTTCACTTTACAGAATATAGTTCTCTTATTCAAGAAAGAGGTGGTAAAACAYATTACCTCTGGGTAGCCTAAATCTTGTTCTCTTATTGAATATCAATTTCAGCAAACATCTGAAAATTCAAAAATAAAAAATATCCTGAGCTTTGGCTCCAGGAGAAGGAGAAATACAGATTTAAGATACAAACCAGTGCAGTTTTAGCCGCACACCATCAAGTATGTTTTAGTAGCTGAAGAGCTTACAAGCACTCCAAATGTATTCAGAATTGGGTGCATTAAATACTTAGAGATACCAGCTGGATCACTTTGCAGGAACTCAGAGCATGTTTAGAACAGACATGGAGTGCATTTTCAAGCAGTACATCTCACTGCCTTTCCTTGGTGATGATGTTGAAGGAAAAATGTAAACATCTCCTTAGTGAAGTCTAGAAAGTATCAATCAGCATTGGGTGGTGAAGGCTGTGGAAGAGAAATGTAAGGAATTTACTCGCTGTTGAATTACTCAGCCATGACATAGGATATGAAAGGAGTCACCACAATGCTAGATAAAGTGTAAGGAAAAAGAGATAAAGTGAAATTCTGAAATTAAATAGTGTTGCTGAAACAGAGCCATTTGAATGAAGGTCAGGTATTATCTAGTTACTGTGGCCTGTGTAAGGTCTCAACAGGCAATTCAGSCAGTTTAGTGGTTGGTTCCCTTTTTTTTTTTCTAGAAAATATGCAGTACCTGTAAAGGTAAATGCTTTTGCAGGGCCATAATTAACATTGCAGTCATCTGTATCCTAGTGATATTTCTGGTATCCATGTTTACAGCCTTGCTGAATGTGGAGCTGGATGATTCTGCCCATGATCATTCATACTCTGTTTAGAAGGAAAAATATATAACTGTCATCACAAACATACAAGATGATATAAAAATGGAGTTTTCTTCTGTCCAAACTTCTTTCAGGAGTGGTAATTAAAAAAAAAAAAATCAAGAAGAAGTAGGTCTAATATATGCCAAATCAATGGTACTTGACACTGAGCCACRTCATCGAGTGTCCTAAAGGCAGTGATAAAAGGCATCCCTTTTTGCCCATGGCCTGCCTCCTCACTCCAGTTCTCTGTACTACTGGCTGTGTCCAAAGCTGAGAAGGAGTAAAATCTAAACCACACTAACAGAACATGTGCACTGATACACCCCTGTGCCCTTGAAAAGAATAAATTCTTTTCAAAGCATGGAGGGAGAGCACATCTGCTGGTGAGCAGATTGCCAGCTGGACCATGCGTACTCCTACGTGTCTGACTGACCAGATAGAGAATAGACACATCTTTGCTGGCAATCTGGCAGGGACACATATGCTTGCAGTGGTCTGCTCCCTCTCCCTAGGAGATACAGGCTATTTCCTAGACATTTAGAAGATCAAATGGCATGTGCAACTTGTCAACCAGTGGATGGTCAACAACTGGGGCTGCAGGCTGTCAGAAGCTCTCATGAACATTGAAATCCAGACTGCTTGAAAGCTTCTRCACAAAATACATGACTATTTAGAATCCTTTGAGTTGGAAGATCAAATCCAACTGTAAGCCAGTAACATTTTAAACAGGATGCAGWATGAGAGAGGACTACTTGGTGATTTTAGAGTGAGTTGCATCTTGGTAACGGGCTCCATCAAAATTGTATCAGGAAGAAAGACTATTTTAGGATGGTAGACAAAAARCAAACTCAGATCTTTACATATCTATTTTTCAGGTGTTATGTATTTGCCCTAATAGTTACCAGACGAATTAAACATTCAGTATGCAGTGTTTATTTTTTTCTTATCCTTAGATCTTTGTGGTCAGTACTTTTAGACTACTGTTGAGATRAAATCTCAAAACATTTTTGGTCTCCTGCATTAACATTGCACATTTTTTATCGTGTAACTAACTGACAAAACTGTAAAAATCACTTTAATAACACAAATATGAATCTAATTAACAACATAAAGAAGTAATGCTGTCTTTTCAGATTTTTAAAATACATACCTTATGGGGTTTTAAAAAGTATTTTGAGGTTAAAATAAAGACTGCTGCTTGCATAGGAATATATAAACAAATTCTGTAATTTCAGTATGACTCTGCTGAAGTCTGTTCCAATAATCTAATTTACTGCAATGATATAAACACTGTTTCAATATTTGCCTGCCKGTATCTGGTCACATACTGTGTAGGCACACTCCCCTCTCTGAAAAGTTGAAAGCAGCTGCTTTAACAAACCTGAGGTGRAAACACAGTCACTGTGCCCTCATCTAGCAGGGTGAGCTACTACATTTTGGAGGACAGCACTGCAACCACTAATTCCTTAGTAGCAGCTATACCTCCYCAAATTCACTTTCAGCACCTTGGGATGTATCTTGTTCAGTTGCAAAGACCTTGGATATGTCAGATATGCCTTAGTGATTACTAAATTAGTCATCATTTACTGTTGGTAGTATTTCTTCCCATCAAACACTGTTCCTAGGACCTAAGAGGTGTGAGACCAGGTCTTTCTAGTAAAGACTCTGATGCTTTTAGAGCTTCCAAAGTACTGTTGGTGTGTTAGAAGTACCAAAAGGAAAAAAAAACCAAACTAAGACATCACTGCCTGAATACTTCCCCTTGGTATGCTCTTAGCATAATCAGAATATGCTCAGCATTTGAGTTACTGATCCAAAGTTCATATTTGAACTTTAAATCCATAACCAATGAAAAAGTCCTATTTTTCTTAAATATCACATTAAAAAAGCAAGGTGTCATTTAATTTAATGTTGTATTAAATCTTTAAATATGCAGGTATAAAACAGTACACAGCACTGCCTATGATACAGCWATAAAAGCTATATAATTCAAAAGTCTTAGGGGCAGAAAGGGTAAAAAAAGCAGCCAGAGAATTGTCAATGCCCATTAATTTTCCAGGATGASGATTCWGACATGTGATCTGTTAACATGAAATAGTATAGGATTGTATTCAGAGCATAACTGGTAAAAGTAAGTGGATCTGAAAGGCTCTCTTCATGTTTTTCTTATGGTTTTTTATTTTGGTGTGGTGTGTGAAGTAGCTATCTTGACAAACAGAGCTCTRAGGCAAAATTATTAATTATGTGAACCTGCTTATTTACAGTCACAAAGTGATAAATGTTATATATTGTAACTGAAAAACATACTTTTTACTTTGCTAGGAATAAAAACCCATGAAAATACACTTTAAGTCACTTGACTTTGAGGAATTCTAGGAATTCACTGTTAAAAAAGTCGTATTTGAACCTTACCTCTTCAAACAACACTGTAACCASAAACTACAGAAATGACTGACTACATCTTTCTGTTCTCTTAGTTCTGAGCAGAATTTATTGCTGCATCAAAACCAAGATAAATCCAAGCCAGCTGTGAAATTATCCATGTAATAGACTAATACTTTAAATCAAAAGGAGTTTTGATTCAATAAGGTCTTCCTTTCTTGGAGAGTTAACATGTTAGACTGCCATAGTAATCACTGATTACATGAATAAAGTCAGGTATAATCCAATAAAGTCAGGTATAATCAGTTACACATAGTTTGTAGGAAAATGGTTTGGAATAAAAGAGTGAATCTTATCTGATTTCATTTATATGMGAAATTCCTTCAGTTATTACTAAGATTTTGTTCCTTATGGGACTTGAAAATTAAAAGTATTTGATACACATTTATTAGAAAAAAAAAATGTTAACACCATTTTTGTCTGTGGAAAAAGTCAGTCAGTTTTGTAATGAAAGAATGCACAATACCCCAAATGGACAGATTCTGTCAATTCAGTGTGGCCTGRTTCCAGGTTTGGCACTGGGAGAAAAAACAGAAGGGCTTTCACTGCAACAGCCAGTAACCTTGCAATAGGTTAAGATCTTCTTTTCTCATCAGCAGCATTTGATAATGCTACTTATAATTTTTGTAGTAATGTTGAGTAATGTAGTAATGTAGTAATGATGGCAGGAGCAATAGGTGTGGTTGTGACATGAGGATCTCACATGTCTTCTCTGGTCTCTTTGATATAGGTTGAGAAGAAATCTGAAGTCAAGGCAGAAGTAATTTGAATTCTAAAAGCCAGAAGTTACAGGATATGGAAATTTACCCATTATTGATGTTTCCCCCTCAAAGCTTACAAAGAAAGTTTCTGTTGTCTCCATGGATATATTATCTGTGTCTTTTTAATCTCAAAACCAGACAAAATTATGTATGTTTAACTTAGCATTACTTTCTAAGAACATTCAGAAAAATAAGGGGACTGCCTATTAATTTAGAAGAAATGCTTTGTCTCAAAAGCATGTAAAAACATCAGCACATGCTAAGCTAAAATGGTTGCCTAATTCTTAAACTTCATCAAGAAATGAACTGGTTTTAGCCAGTGTCTTACCTAGTAGCTGCTTTTTCCTTATATGATACTCGGCAATTGTGCAGAGGCGTGTTCACTGTGGAGTCAAGGAGTCATTAAGTTCGAAAAATAYCTCTAAGATCATGCAGTCCAACTGTTAACCTAACACACCATGTTCACCACTAAATCATGTCCCCAGGCACCACATCTACACATTTTTTTAACACTTCCAAAGATGGTGATTCCACCATTTYTGTGGGCAGCCTACTCCAATGCTTGACCACCCTTCCAGCAAAGAACTTTTTCTCAACACCCATTCCAAATCTCCCATGGTGCAACTTCAGGCTGTTTCCTCTTGTCCTGTCACTTKTTACTTCAGAGAAAAGACCAGCCCCCACCTGTCTGCAACCTCCTTTCAGGTGGTAAGGTTCTGAAKCTCCTTTTCTCCAGATTAAATACCTYGAGCTTCATCAGACACTGCTCATCAGACTGKCGCTTCAGACCCTTCACCAGCTCCATTGCTGTCCTCTGGACACACTCCAGCACCTCAATGCCTTTGTAAACTAAATACAAGGGTCCAAAACTGAACACAGGAATCGAGGTGCTGCCTCACCAGTGCTGAGTGCAGGGGGACAATCACTGCCCTGGTCCTGCTGGCCACACTATTGCTGATACAGGCCAAGGTGCCATTGGCCTTCTTGGAGCATGGCTGGCTCATGTTCAGCCCACTGTCAACCAGCACCCCCAGGTTCTTTTCCATCAGGCAGCTTTCCGGCCACTCTGTCCCCCCCATGCTTGCAGTGCTGCCTGGGGTTGTTGTGACCCAAGTACAGCATCCGACACTTGCGTTGTTGAASCTCATACCATTGGTTTCTCACTTCAAGCAGAAAGAAGCTATTAGCACATGATTTTTGAGAGATCTGCAGTCCTAAAAAATAATTTCCATAATTTGGATTTTTCCAAGTTCTGGTGAATAATATGGAACAGTCAGCAGAGAAGGCACAAGAAGATTAATGATGTCTGTGCTGATTAATTTTTGGATTGGGAGTATTGTTCATGTATTTAAGTTTAAATTATGTTTGTTTAGCTGGTTTGCACTAGTTTGAGTAATTAAATAGATGTTCAAGACTTCTGGTATAGTAAAATTCCAAATGCCACACATCCAAACATCTTCCCACTTCCTCCTTCTTCTCCCCACTTTAGATACTGAGCATGATATCATATGGTATGGAATATCCCTTTGGTCAGYTGGGGTCATCTGTCCCAACTTTCCATGTTGTCAGTTCCCATGATCCCAGTCTCCTCGCCAGCATAGCAGTATGAAAAGCAGAAAAAACCTTGTCTCTATGTTAAGCACTGCTCAGCAATGACAAAAACATCTCTGTATTATTAATCCTGTTTGGSACTAATCCAAAATACAGCTCCATACCAGCCACTGCAAAGAAAATTCACTCTACCCTAGCCCAAAACAGCCTATAATGCTGGTGAGTTATTTGCCTTCAGAATTGGAATATTCCAAACACCAAATAAAGCTCAGATGTGTAGCTGTTACTCTTAGTCCGTGTGTATGTACTCACTGAAATGAGTACCAGTTGAGCACGATACTTCTTGTTCTAGCTGTAGTCATCAATGATATTCAGGTCAAGAAAGACAGAAAAGCACACATTTAAAAAAAAAAAAAAAAGTTTATTCTTATTAAAGCAATTTCCAAATAAGGATGTCAAATAGTCTTGATAAGCATGTTCACAGTGTCAGCTGCTGATTGCTGACTCCATGCAGCACATTAGAAAGTCGCCTCCTGATCTCTATGTCATGGTGTTATCTTTGCATTTTACATGTTCCTCTGCCTTAAAAACTGTTTAATGGATCGTTAGTATCTCTCAATGTGGGTTATGTTGTGTAAGCCATCTAGAGCATGGCTTATTTTTCATAGGTTCTGAGTATTTCTGTATTAAAGCTTTTACTTTCTTGTACGATAAATAAAACATCGAAGACCTGAATGAATTATTCCCATACATGTGTCATGGGGTTTCACACAGGGAATCAACTCACACAGGCAAGCAACTCATGTCTAGCTCTAACAAAGCAAACATCTAACAAAGTCTGTCCCTGGTAAAACAGCAAGGTGAGTACACTATCAACATGGCATTTGAAACAAGGTGGGGGAACAAATTTAATTGGAAATCTTCAAAATATGTGTTTGGCTTTGGAATCCATTATGAAATGCTGAGATTTGCCCAAGAAACAAAAGCTGTGAGCTGCAACTTATTTTTATTCTTCTGTGGCTGTGTCCTGCCTTTGATTTGCTCCCAGGCTACAGCTGGAATCTGTGGAACCTGACACAATCTGTGTGTGGCTTCCTGCCATTTTACTCAGACAAGCAGTATTTCTGCCAGTCTGTCAGAAGCACCAAAAACTGCTGCACCATACCAGCAGGCAAGCACACTGGAGAAATCCTTATCCAGAAATGGGAATGGGAGAAAATGAACAAATTGGAAAGAAATACCCTGATTGTTCATTCTGAATCGTAGCCATAAAACCACAAAATAATTTGACATGAAAGGAGCAGAGTGTACCTGGAAAGACATCACTCTGTCCCTGGTAGAACTTCTTCTTACCTAAATCACACTAGAAATCTGGCTCTTCTCTGACTCTGCAATTTCTCAGATTTGAGATATACTGTGGAAGGTAAGGCAGGAAAAGTAATTCAGTCATTTGTCTGCGAAAAAAATGAAGAAGAAACAGCTGCAGCAGCTTGTTACAGCTTTAGACTTAAATAGTGGGTTGATACCAAGAAAATAGTCACTGGATGTCTCTGTGGTTGTAACAGAAGAAGCATCATCTGATGGAAGAAAGTATTGATGGAGCAAAAAACAACTACTTCTAAATTTGCATCTATTTTGGGTTTTTAAAATATTTCTAATGTACCCCTTTTTTGGTAATAGGGCCAGCAGCCAGAGTGGGCTCTCCAAACCCTGCTCACAAATCTCACCCTGCAATCTCCCTAATTACATTGCAGCAAGYTGGATTTGGTGTTGTCTAGAGTCCCATCACCACTTCTCTTCCAACTCCCTCCAACGGATTTCCTGCACTGAGCCAGAGTTCAGTGTGCAGTGTGAAACCCTGAAAAAATATTGTRTCATTAATCTCATCAGCACAGAGAAGAGCACAGCACTCACAATCTGCTAATTTAGGGTGGCTGGGAAGTCTCAGGGCAGTTGGGACACCTGCTGTTAAGTTCTTTGTCAGTGACATAGGTGAGTGTCCCATGGCCTAGTGAGGACAAGTCCTCTTTGAGTAGGCATTTCTAGGTGGGCAGACCTAAGAAACCTCCTTGGCGTGTGGGCRAGCTGATCCCCAGGCCTGTGTGCTGGGCCCAGTCAGTGCGTGTTTGGCACTTAGAGGATGACAGAGGATCTGAGCCAGTGGATGACTGGATCAGCCCCAGTGGAACTGAGGCTGGAAGGCGTCTCCCTGCTCCCCAGAGAGTCAGGGATGAGCTCTCCCACATCACACCAGTGTCACAGTGTTCTCAGTAAAAGTTTTAAGGATATGTTCAAGACCTGCTTGTTTGAGCCCCAGAGTCTGACTGAGCAGAGGGGTGTCTGTCAAGTGAATTTTTTAAAAGGCTTTGGCTGCAGAAAGGATTCAGCAATGCTCACTTGGGCTGGAGGCAGCTCTGGGAACCTCGGGGACAAAATGCAGCTAGGGAGGATTGCTTGGAGACGCCTCCACTGCCTTTCAGATAACCGGTGTCTTCCTTCTTTTGCACCCTGGCGGCCAAAGGATGGACTCAGGTGCCGGTGCAGTCCGTTATCACAGCCATGTATACACTGGACAAGAGGAGCTTTTGTCAGAGTAGCTCCTGATGGCTGAAGGGAAACCTCCACCGAGGCTCCCAGCACCAGGCAAAGGCAAACGTTGAAGCACAGTATCGGTACTTAAATTCACAGATTAATTTAAGTACTTAACTTAGAACTTGGTGCTTAAATTCAGACTCTTTRGAGCAGCTCGACAGCATTTCTTGCCACCCAGCTCTCTCCGGCCCGAGGGAGGCGGCTCACCGGACCTGTGGGCGTCGGGCCGAGGGCAGAAAGGGCGGCGGGGCCTCGGCAGGGCTGTGGGGCCGGGCTGGGCTGTGGGGCCGGGCTGGGCTGTGGGGCCGGGCGGGGCAGGGGTCCAGCCCGCGGGCAGCCCCCGCCCGTCCCCGTCAGGGCAGCGCTGGAGGAATTCTCGGGCCGGAGCGTTGGCTGGGCCGGGCCGGGGGCTGCGGCGGGCGCTCTGAGGGAGCTGCCGGGCCGGGTCGGGGCCGAAGGCAGGTGTCTGCCTCCTTCTGCGCCGCCCCCGCCCGAGCCAGGCCCTCACCGCGCTCGTCCCTTCCCGAGACTTCCAATTATCGCTAAAGTTTAAGTCCTTAATTTTCTTGGCTGCAAACCCGGTAACGAATCKCTCAGACTTTGTTTTTCCACTGCTCCCGAGGCTTGATTTATTGTGTCTCTGTTATCGCACAATCGGGCTTCGTTCAAAATGTTATTCTGGGCTAATTCCATAGCCCGGTATTTATTTTGATTGTCCCTTCTCATTAGCGTTACTGATTTTTAATCGCTCCCCGTTGCCTGTTAAATCCCCGCTCTGCCCGCCTGGACTCGCCTCATCCCATCCGCGTTTCCCTCCCGTGTGGGTCGGTGTCCCGGAGCGGTGCCCGGGCAGCCACGACCCGCTCGCCCCGCGGCTGCGGGACGGAGCCTCGCCCGGGGGAGCCCCGGGAACATCCGCGAGCCGGAGATGCKGCGGCGGAGCGGAGAGAAAGGGCTTGCTTTTAACAGGGCATCGCCCGAGCTCCCAGCCCAGCGATTAAATTTCTCTCCTCCAGCAAATCCGTTACTTTATCCTAAGAAAAACAGCGCGAGCGGTGCGAGCGGCGGCGCGGGGCGGCGGGACCCGCACGGAGCCGGGGCCGGGCGCGGGGGAGGGCGGGGGGCGAAGGGAGCGTGAGGCGATGCCCCCCCGACAGCTCCGTGATTGATGACCCATCCGCCCGGGAAGGGGCGGTCGCTGTCGCCCGGGCTGGCGGGGGGAGCTCGGCGGCCAGGTGCGACCCAGCCCCGCCGCACCCACCGGCCGCGAAGGCTTATAAACACCGGGGCTGGACGGGGCGCGACGCGACGSGACGGGACGAGGGCGTCGGGAGGGGCTGCGCCGGGCTGGCCCCTCCGCACCGGGCGGGAGCGGTAAGTCCATCCCCGGCCGGGCACCGCGGAGTCCCGGCAGGTCCCGGGCAGCCGGGTTGTCCCACCGGAGTGCGGGACGGGGACGCAGCAGCCGCCGCGGGCCGGCGGGGCAGTGAGTGCCGGTGCTGCCCCCGCGCATCAACAGGCAGGTTCCTATTTCTCTACTCTGGAGAAAGGATTTTCGTTACCTGTTACCGGAGTTACACAGTGGGCAAAGTCTTTTTAAAACAGATGCAAAATAATTTAGATTCACTGTATTTTTCTCCCCTAAGAAGCAACGGAAAAGTTTATCTAAGGTTTCCACCTGTTTGTTTTCAGTTTGTGTGCTCTGCTCGGGCGTTTTCCATCTTGTCCTTGTCTGTGTGGGCAGGTTGCCTTCATCGCCGTTTCATTCACACAGAATGTAAGACTAAAATAAATATTGCGCTGGGTTTTTTGGTAAAACATGTCAAACGAATCATGTCTTTGTTGTGTCATGTAAAAATACAAATGCATCTGAACGCATTAGAAATACTGAACTAAAAGAGATTTAGAAACAACATAAATACTTAAACTTACTTTCACAGCCCTGTTTCCAACTCTCTCAGCATACCATGTGGCAAGTGGGTGTTTGCAAAAATTACTGTGATTATTTTAAAAGCCAGACCTCTTTCTTGTAAAATTTTAAAAGGAGAATTACTGTTGYCGAGAGGCTTTTTATTTACTTTAGTTTTTAGCAGCATTTTTTCGACCCTGTGGTTTGGGTGAYGCCTGGCTTTGCAGCATCTGGAATGTGTGTCCTGATTACTTGGGGAGAAGAGGGATGCTGCTCAGTCCCAGTGCTAGAGAAGTGATCCCGGCCGTGGATTCAGGAACGACCATGGTTTGGCTACACATATGTACCTACCTACAGCAGATCCATTGTTTCTGTGTAGCAGATTCTCCTAGGCCATTTGCTGTTTGAATTTGATGGGAAGTGTGACTGGAGAAATTTAATTCAGAGTCAAATCTCTCATTTCCACACTGAAATTTTGTACATTTTTCCACAGGCCCAGGATTTAATTTCATATAGATGTGAAGGTCCTAAACCAGAAACTCTTACTTCAAGGGGCACCCAAGGAGATGAGGTTTTTAGGTACGTGCATTACTACATACTGTATGTCACTTGAAGTCATTCCAATTCTAAACCTGGCTATACACCAGCATGGCAAAATCAAAATTGCGCACAAACCTGCCCTAGTCCCTTATTTCAGTAGAGAAGCAGGTATTTTTGCTAACCCAGTCTGTCCATATCCTTGGGTATTCCAGAATTTTCCATTAATTGGGGAAGGCTTCCRCCACCAGTGGGATTTTGATAGGATGGCAGATGAGAAATTCTGCTGCTAAACATAAACTGGTAGAGTCTTCTGCCTGTTTTCATGATTGCCTTAATGACTGTCTTGATGCCATCTCTGCAGTGATAATTTTTTTTAAACTAAAATGCATCCAGATTGGACTGTGCCYTAACACAATGAGAAAATACCAAGAGAAAAGCACATAGGAATGTTTTTTTTWATTTTAAGTTAGAGGCAATAGCCAATTTAAGGACCATTTTTCAGTCCTCATTCCAGATGARCTCATGAAGTCTTAATGTAAGTTTTATTTTATATTGATCATAAATACCACAATAAAAAAGAATAGTGAGGGGTTATTTTCCCCTTTGGTTTAGAGGTATAATGTGCACAGAATATTTCACAAATAATTTCAGTGTAATTTGTATTGCTGCCGAAGAGAACATTACATGATAAAACCCTGTGTATCAGAGTAATAGCAAATTAATCACAGTCACCCAAAATAATAATAAAAATGTCTTCTTAATACCATCAAATTATAGAATTGCAAAAAGACATTATTTTGAAACCTTTCCTTGTCTTTGATAGAAATATTTGATTACAGTGTGTTTGAAATGCTCTGTAAGATAAGAGCTAATTCTTGTAAATGTAGATATCCAGTCATTTATGTGCATCAATTTTATTTAGATTTTTAATTATGCAGTATTTGGATGAAATTAAAAGGTTTATAATTTGTTCCCGCCCTTGTCTAGCCAGGCTTTCACAGGAACAGACACTCCTAACACGTGAAAGCCGGGATCTGGGACACCCAGGAGGGCTGCTTCACTGAGGACRACAGGATCAGGTATTATTGCATCTAAGAAGTGCTGCACTTTGGGGAACATTGATTGAATTGCATTTTTCTGTGGAACTGAATGAATTAAAAAACTGTGAGTTGTATTAGAGACAGAGATGACTGAATGGCTTTTCCAAAAGCTAGGAAAAGACCTTATGGTCACTCTTTCCAGCTTTTCTCAAAATAATTTTTTTTTATGTTGTTTTCAAAAGGTTCTTTTGCCCCCCAATGGCCAAAATACAATCTTACAAAATTGTTTTAAGGATTGAAAATGCAGGTAATAAAGGATAAGCAATTTTTTAGTAATGTTAGGGGTGGGAGGACAGGAGAAGGCAGTTCCTGATCCTTCAAAATTATGGACCAGGTTTTATCCTTCAAAAACTGAGTCAGTGCTCTGTGACTCCACTTACTGTTGCATGTGAAAAGGATATTTTTCCTTCTGTAATCTATGGAGGGCTGATCATCTATAAGACTGTTGATAAAATGATTGCAGCTAAATAGAAAATATACTAACTGTTCCACATTCTAAATCATACAGACACTATTAAAAATTGCATTTATCCTAATTTTTAGTTAGTTGTAAATGGAAACCACTGTGCCAGTGACTCTGGATGGTGCCTGTTGGGTTTTCTCAGAAGTCATCTCTGGGCTATGAGTGACTCAAATAATTTGCTTTGTGTAATAATGTTAAAAAATTAAGTACCCATTGTTGTGAAGTTTTTAACTTCTGTTCTGTACCCACGTGTGATGCTGAATTTGTAAGCAGTGAGTGGAAAAGTGGCTCACACGGCCGCATCCTGGCTTTTCTTAGCACAGGCAGTGTCTGCGTTTCTGACCGTCCTTGCTTTCAGAACGTGCTGGCTCCGGCACAGCGCAGCATCCTACTGTAGAGATGCTCTTGTTTGCTCGCAGGACACTCCGTGCCGGAGAAGTCACCGATGGACTGTAAGCATTTAGCCGAGAGCGGCGAGATCTCCAGCCCGGGCTCAGAGCCCGACTCCCTGGTGCCTTCGGCCGGCAGCAATCCCTGCCTGCCCTTGTCGGCCGGGCCGCGGGCTGGAGCCGCTCCGGGCCGCCCCGCCGCCGCCAACGCCGCCCGGGAGCGCAGCCGGGTGCAGACCCTGCGCCACGCCTTCCTCGAGCTGCAGAAGACTCTGCCCTCCGTGCCGCCCGACACCAAGCTCTCCAAGCTGGACGTGCTCCTCCTGGCCACCACCTACATCGCACACCTCACCCGCAGCCTGCAGGATGAGGAAGAGCCACCGGCAGAGGGCTTGGGCACCCTCCGTGGGGATGGATACTTGCACCCTGTCAAGGTAGGAGAGCTGAGGAGCAGCTACCACCTTCTCTGAGTGAGTGAGTGAGTGAGTGAGTGAGTGAGTGAGTGAGTACAATGTCCTTAGATACATAGATGAAACTAAAGATTTCAAGATCCTGTACCTTGCCTAAAGGTGATACATAGCAATCCTGCCTGGACTAATCATTGTGCCTAGGTGTTAGGGGTCTGAGGGAAATAAATATTTTGGAGCTTTGTTCCTCCAGCTTCAGGGACTTTTTACTACAATATCAAATCTAGTGTAGGTCTAAACCTGGTGGGACTTTTTTTTTTTTTTTTTTTTTGGAAGTGAAGGTGGGAGTGAGCACCAGAGGAATACTTGCATTTTCCTGGTCCCTGTGTGGAAATTTTGGCCATCCCCCCAGCCCCATCAGATCCTGCTGTGGGGTTGTACGTGCTGAGGTGACACTGCCCAACAGTGGTGGTCCAGCCATGGCTGAGTCTGCTTTGGTGCTGCTGCCACTGACAGCAGCGTTAATTACCAGCCATGTTTTAATTACTTCCATGAAAGTGCTTTTCTGAACCATTTCTCTAGTTGGTATATGCACTTCCCTTGGTCAAAAAAAATCAGCGATGCAGAGAGGATGAGAAAGAATAATTGCTCTTGGTGAGGACCGGGCTGGAAACTGTTTCCAAAAGCAATGCTCACTAACTGATGGGGCTCAGACACCGCGGGCTGTTTTCTTTGGCTGTGTTAACAGAGAGTGAGTTAGAGCACTGGGGTGTTTTCTTTTTCTTTCTTTCTTTTTTTTTTTTTTTAAGAGTCTGAATTCAGAATGATTTAATTAAGATTAATTTGTGAAGTAATCTCTAATTTCTAAAAAGTGCCTAATTCACAGAGAGTTCCTTGTTCACAAGGTTGGTTGCTGWATTTTACAGCATGATGTGAACGTGGGCTTCTGAGGCCATTTAAATGATTAGCAGACCCATAAAGAAAGCAAAACCTCTAAATCAATTAGAAGATGGCAATAATTAAAGTAAAAAAATACTGTGATGTATTTCAAAATAAGTTCAAAACACTTCTGTTAGTTCCCTCAGTCAGAGTGAAAGGACACAGGTCTCTTATGGTACATTTTATCAGYTGCCAACTACTACTGGCAGAAAAATGCTCCTGAATAGTTATTACAGCAGTTAAATGRTCCAGATGCACATTTCCCAGGCTACTGGAATGGAGAAATATTGGATTCACTTAAGCTATTAGTTTTTTAYGAATATATTTGATGAAAGAGTCACAGACAAATCCTAGTATTTACTTCAAAAACCCCAAAATGCAGGATAAGAGACAAACTTTTGAGGTAGACTGCCATTACAGTGATAGATTAAGCATAGTAAATGTAAATAGTGAGGGAAGTTAAGTATCCAAGTACAGTCATGTGTACAATGAATGAAAAATAGGGTTAACAACTTTAAACTGGGATGCTTTATTGGTGACAAACTCATAACATCACACTTGAAATGAAATTACTGAATGAGATTGTATCTTTCCAAGCAAGAATATGACACTGCTTTAGATCTTTGAACAGAAGAGCTAAGATTTATCTGTAGTATTAATAAGTGCCCCTTTGCCCACAGGAAAGGCGCCAGTCTGTTCCCAAAACTGTCTTTAAAAAAATGCATTGTTTTGGAACAGTGTGCTGGCTGCGTTTYGGGTATTTTTGCATCCTTTTCCACCATCCACCTCTCTAATACTGAATTGGGCACAGCAAACAAGCTCCTTCCAATGCTCCCACCCCAGTGCCAGGCACCCAGCAGCAGCCACCCACACCACAGGGCGGCTTGCAGTGAGCAACCTGCTGGGATGAAGATAATGCAAGCTGTCAGAATAAATATTTAACACCAGTGTAATTGATTATTCCAAAAATTAGCAAGAGGAGAGATGGTTTCATCTGGAATAGTAAGAACTGACAAGAACAAGAAGCTGTGAGTGCTGAAGACTGCCAAGGTGCAAGTAYATTAAACTCCTGTTAACTTACAGCCTTCAGCAGCAGCCTTTGTGCTGCAGATTGGTGGTGTGGGGCCCAGCTGAAAACTGCAATCAGAGTGCAAAGAGTCCAAGTGTTTCAGTGCTGTGCTTGTCTCCTCTCTTGCAGAAGTGGCCCATGCGTTCCAGGTTGTACATTGGAGCCACGGGACAGTTTCTGACCCACTCRGCACAAGGAGACAGCGCAAACCATGGGGAAACATCAACATCTTCACAGATCTAACTCCCCTTCTTGCTTTTAAACCAATGGCTATTTATTACACCCTATATATATATATATATATTTAAGTTAAAAAATTGTATCTACAGACAAACTATAATTCCTGAAATGTTGTTTGTTTGTGGAGCAGAAGAAATTGATTCTTAAATGTAATTAATACCTCATTAAGTTAATGTGGCGCATCATTGGTTTCTGTCATTGCTGGGATCTGAATGGGRGGGAGCGAATGACTGCAGCCACCAMCAASASMAGCAGCAGCAGAGCTGTCAGCAAAGTATCCTTGTCCTCTCTGGGACAAGYGCTGAGAAAGAGAGGAGTGATGTGGTACCGGCCAAGTACAGGGCAAACAGGCTCGGGTGAAAAGCAAAGGGCAAGGCTAAAAATAGTAACTGTAATCCCTCATAGACTTTCTCCACCGCTTTAAGMTGAAGGCAGAAATCCTCCTGACTGCAGCTGTCAGGCCAGGGCTTCACCCCACGGGTAGCCCTATGTRTTTGTAGCTATTTCTGGGAATGTGGATGCGTGTCCATGCAGTCAAAACGTGCTGAGAGACCTGTCCCTCCTGCACAGAGCGCTGGGCACTGCTTGGATCCATCCCCAGGACTGCATGTTACAGGGCTCAGCCTGTGTTTGTTACCCCAGCACAACCACGCGTCTTCTCACCATACCACGGCTTATTTAATTTTAGGGGCTCACATGCTGGAGTAGATGAGCCCAAAGTGTTGACTCGTTTTGTAGAACACTTGTTCACTTAAATATCTTCTATATTTAGGCAAGAAAAATTGAAACTAAATGCACAAATGTCACCTGTTGTATCTGTTCTGTAAAACACTGTACTTGCTCATATGGTTTGTTATTGCTGAGGTAAATGTTCTATTAAATATTATTCAGTGAACATTATATACTTTGAGTTGCAAAATCTGTTATCAGTTTCCCATTGTACATGTTAATATTCTACATTTATAGATGCCATCTTCTTTCTGAAGGCTTCATGGTTTAAATTTAAAAATTATGTTTAAGAAAAACATTTTGGCCAGAACAAATTTCATTTTAAAAAGGTATGGTAAAATCTGGAGTTCTCCTGCAACATTCTGAGCTTTTAGGAAGATAATATACCTGATATAGAAATCAAGAAAGGCAAAAAAATAAAGATTCCTCAGTGTTTTTAAAGGCTTATTCCTTTCAATGTCATTGAAAGATTCTGACTGCTCATCCCGGAAGCAGTGGATCAGTTGGACAGCAGGAAGAATTTCTTCACAGAAAGGGCCCTTAAGCACTAGAATGAGCTGCCCAAGGAGGTGGTGGAATCACCATTTCTGGAGATGCTCAGGAAAAGACGGGGATGTGTCACTTAGTGCCATGGCCGAATTGACAAGGTGGTGATCAAAGGTGAACAATAGTCTTTTCTAACCTAGCTGATTCTGCAAGCATGAAAAACGCTTTAGTAATAAATGTAAAAAATGTGGAAATTTATTAATGGATGACACGGAGAATACATCTCAGACTCTATCACTTCACTCAGCCACAAAATCTGTATCAGTTTCTCATTGTACATGATAATATTCTGAATTTATAGATGCTGTCTTCTTTCTGAAGACTTTAAATTTTMAAATGACATTTAGGAAAAGGAAAGCAAAAATACAAGCAAAACCAACTTTCATTTAAAAAGTATGGTGAAATCTGGAACTCTCCACCATTCCTGCAGTATTTACAATGGAGTATTTACAGTGCTCTGAAGGCAGCCAGAGATCAGAGCAGCTAACACTGTAGCTTCTTACTGTAGCCACAGCCCTAAGACTTTCCCAGCATGTTATGGAACTATTGAAGGCCAGTACGAACATGCAGAATGGCAACAGCAGTTCTTCACTTGAAAAGAGCTCCCTGTATTTATGAGCTGGGTTTTTTTTCTTTTCCTTGAGACTGATTATTCTGCATCAGAATTAAGCTTTTCCTTCCAGAACCAAGACACTAGGTGAGGCAACACACTCGCTTCGACCAGGGCAAAAGCTTTTATCTTCTAGAAATTTACAGAGCAGGATAACAACAAATACTCTGAACCTGTTACTTCAAACCTGCTGGTCGCTTCCACGGACATGTTTGCCAGAAACAGTTCATATCCCCGTASAGTGAAATATAAGAGTTTGGCATTTAGCACCAGGGATATACACATGGTTAGGGACAAAGTTGTTCAGTGTTTATACACTGCTATCAAAAGGTGGCGGTTTTTATGGAGGAAGCTAAAACGTCTCGGCAAACCTCGGTCATTGTCATCACAGCCTTTCCCTCTGAGGGGTGGGACAGGGGAACTTCCCGGGGCCGCAGAATGTGACTCTTAACAGTGCCTGCGGCCACGCACTGCCTTCCCTTCACACCCAAACCCTCCACTGCTCTCCCTTCACACACCAAACCCTCCA